TCAAAGACGAGCTGTCAAAAACAGTAAGCTTAAAATGTTAGTATTATCAACGGAAAGTAGAGTGGTATCCTCAAGGGAAAAAATTCCACTAAGAAAGATTATGTTGAAAGCCATGACTGTCCTGACCGATACAAAAGGACTCGGTGATGTGAGCTTACCAGTTGATGTTTAGATCTACACAACCTTTCCTACCATGTGCAGCTCGTGTGATATGATATTATGATGTGACATAATAGTACTCATAATACATATTGTGCAGCTCCTTTCACTCAAAATACGGAACTGTGCTCTCACTGCGCAATTAGTATTTCCAAATTATTACGATCATAGGCCACAGACTAAACGGACTGGTAGCTTGTCTTACTTTCTCATCCGGGTCTGAAGGAGGCACAGGGGTATCTGGTTTATCAGGGTCAGCTGTTTTGTCCTTCTTCTTGTCACTTTTCTTGTCTTTTCCTTTTCCAGTGCCTGGTTCTCCAGACTTCGGACGGCGAGGAACTAAAGGTATACTGGGGATCAAGAAAATAAAGTAAAATTAATCTTATGGACAAAGACGCTAACAGCATGTCTACCCCGTTCAATTTAAGGGCGCTCTTCATCATTCAAGTCTTGCCCAATTGAAACACCTGGTTCACGCGGGATCAAGAGGAAAACGAACTCCAGGCCTTATGGATACAGGCGCGAGATTTGTGTTCTCCCATATCAACAGAGGATGTAATTCTGTGGCAACTCTAGCGCGAGAGTGTGAAAACTGACGAGCAGCAGTCAAAAGACAACGCCATCACTGCCAGGGCCGAGTTGTTCAAAGCTGGGTTAAGATAACCAAGGGTTACTGTGAATTTAATTAAAGATATGACAGCTTAAAATGAAAATTCAGTACAATTGTTTCTGTAAGCAATTAGATGATTGGATGTTCTTAAAAGAATCGGGAAAATTATCGTAGAAAGGCTCTTGAATACTGAAGTACAGAAACGTGGATTAAAATTTAACCCTGGGTGTGCACTCATCGGCCTTCAAACAACAGAGCCCAGAACCAGTTCCGTGGATGTTAAGAGATGACTGCTAATTGTAATCATTGGAAATCGGAACCCTTCATTATACAGCTCATTCAACTGTGAGAAGAGACCAACTATGACATCAGTACCGTGCAGGGTTACAACATGTTTCAATGCAGCACTGTATTGCCAACAAGTACTAATGATTCAGTAGCAAGTTCATCTCTAAAGCTTACGTGTTTCATGTACCTTGGGAATCGTCAGAATCAAAACTTTGCTTCAAAATTAGGCCTACTTTCATAAATTTAATGGTAGTTCGTCTCCATACAAGTTTAATTTTTAACCGTCACATTTAGATCACTTATAAACGGTTTCCATTAGTGCACGCCTGTTTCTGTTTAGATAGTCCAGTTGCAACAGACTCTTTGCTTTTATTATTTGTAGATATAGAAACGCAATAAAAGTTGTTACGACTTTTAAAATACATCCTACTCTAAGACTTGTTTCAGATTTTAAACTCCTGATTAAATTTGATATCTGTTCAGAGAGGCATGATGATAATTGCCATATCTACAGCGCAGTTACCGAGGCTTTTGTTCCTCCTCAGGTGCTTCTGAAGGTTCAGGAGTCTTTGAACTCTTATCTCTGTCTTTTTTACCAGATGGACTTTTCACCTCAGTCTTTTCAGCAGCTGTTAAGTTGGTTACACTCTCACTTCCTCCAGACTTGGATGACGCAGATTGTGGTCTTACAGCCAATGGTAGTTCCACAAGTGGTAAGCGTGCGTATTCTGTGATAACTTCTGATGGTGTTTTGCCTGTTAATAGTAAAAGGGGGGAAAACATTTATAAAAAGTAATTACTATCTGAAAGAAACAGCAATCTCAAGTCGTAACGACGAAATAATGGCTTGACATGATGAAAATCCCCAATGGAGAAAATTTTAACAATCATGAAGAATCTTTGGACATCCATTTAGCTCGCTATAACTTTCGAAATTTTCGGTAAGAAATAAATAAGAATAAGAAACATTTAAATGATAGTTTCTGAGACTATGAGCCGGTTATTTACACGAAGTCTAACCTAAACCACGGTTTTTCGCAATAAGAGGGCCTCAGACTTTTTCTGCAATAGGGTTGATTTAATTTTAAAAAACGTCCTTCCACTGTTAGCTTTCGGCCCTCTTGATACTGTTCACAAAGATGAATTTTCAGATAAAAGATTCAGCTTAACTGAGGATTCTCTAGGACGCAGTGTTGTTGAACAACGGCTAAACTATGTTTGAATAATCAGACCTAAAAGTTTGCGGAAATTTTCTGTTACGTTAGCGACAACTTTCGCCTTGAAGGCCCATTTCTAACCGAGATGCTTTGTGCGCCCGGATCATTTTTCATATATGAAAAATACGCTACTTTCCTCGTAGTTGCGGAATCGCTTTGATATCTTCTTCCATATTACTAATTAGGGCTTTCAAAGTTCCATCTTGAATCATGTGCGAACAACAAA